TTGCCACTATCTGTCCTTTTTACTTTTATTTCTGCTAATTCTTTCCTGGTCTCCTTTTCTAATTCTCATTTCTCTCTTCATTTTACTCAGAATATGAAATATAAATCACATAATGTTTACTGCATAGGTTTAGGAATTGTAATAACTGGTCATCTTGAGCCTGAGGATTTATATGAATTATTTACAGAATAATAATGTTATAGGCATAATCATATTTTATCACCTCTTGATGTATGTATTAGGAACTAGTTCAAAATTTTGTATGAGGCTGCATGACATTTTTCTCCTTAAGTATGGTTACTGGAAAGACAAATACTTTGATTTTTGTCTCATAGCAGTTTGGGATAAAACATACACATTTGACAAACCCTCTTCCTATAAAGTGAAATCACTTTTGTTTGACAAAGAATAGATTGAAACTAATGAGAATATCTGGCCAACCAGCTTTTGTTTTACAAGAGCTATGCCTTGCCAATACCTTCAATATCTAGGTACTCTCCTTTCTTTTATAGGTTTACCTATGCAAGTATCTATCAAAATGCTACATTGTTTTCTTCATGAGCACTGAGTACACTAAACTGTGAAATTAAACCACATTTCCTCATTTGAAATTGCAAAACTTCTTCCTCTGGACTTTCCAGTGATGAACTACTGGGAGAAGAGTCAGAATGAATAAGCAAAGAGGTTACTGAATACTTCTTTTAAAAGGGTGTGTTAAGACATGGGCAATTAGTCCAGGGAGGAAGAGCTGATGGCTTAATAGTATGTAGTGAGACATTGGTCTCTGGATTTGCAACATTACCAAATTTGTCTATTTCAAATGTCCTTGAAATGTGAACCATGTACTTAACTGCAGGGTTATTCAGCCCTGCAGTTATTACCTAATGCTCCCATGACAACATTATTTTTGTTTCTTTCAACTCTCTGTCTGTCATGGTTATAAGATGGTCCAAGTTATACCCTCTAACGAATACTGCTTAATATGTAATGTACATTTGTAGTTCAGTGGTTCTTAACCCTGGCTGCCCGTTAGAATCACCCAGGGAACCTAAAACATGTACATATACATCAGAGAGTGGGCTGCACACCAGCTCAATAAAATCAGACTGTCCTGGGTATGGCTTGGGGCATCAGTGTTCTTTTAAAAGCTCCCCTAATGATTTTAAGACAGCCAGAGTTGAGAACCACTAGTTTAATGGGATAAGCATGTGTCATTTATTGTAATCTGCATTTGTTGGAGAATTTTTTCCTCTTAATATTATAGCAATCTGAAAATGGATATGCCTTTGCAAGTAAATTGGATTTAGCAAGATTTCTTGTAAAGAAGTTTCTTATCTTAGCTGAAACCTTTTAAGTGTACTTTTGAGACGGTCTCTCCCAGCATACTTATAATCTTGAAAGAAAAAAAATACTTCTCAAAATATTGACACATTGCATTCCAGAAGTTTGGAGTCATGTACAGGATGAAAAAGAACTCACTGAAATTCTCTTTAGATGTCTACAGTATCTACCTTTCAAAGGACTTTTGAGTAATTACCCATTTTCTCATTGTAAGCTTGATACAGAACACTCAGCTCATTGTTCTGTTTACCTTTTTCTAGGTTTGAGTTCAGTCTATGCCCCCTTTTCACTATATATGGGTCAAGTATCATTATCTCATTGAAAAGCGTAGTAGGCCTGGAATACCTTGTACAGTGCAGATGAGATAGAAATGAGAACTCTCTAAATTGTGAAGGGCTACTTAGCCATAAGCATTATTATTATTATCATTATTATTATTAAGAGACGGGGTTTTGCTATGTTGCCCAGGTTGGTCTTGAACTCCTGAGCTCAAGCCATCCTCCCACCTTGGCCTCCCAAAGTGCTGAGATTACGAGCATGAGTCATCATGCTCGGCCCATAAACTGATTATTTAAATCCTGGTCCCCTAAGAGACCAAATTATTATCCTTATTATCCTTCGGTGTGAAGTGAGTCTGACGTCTCAATATACATGTCAATATACTGACAAACGTTTATACCCATGTGTAGAAAACACTTTGCCCTATCCTTTTGCCCTGCCCCTAGGAGATGCACGAAGCTGCTGCTTGTGAGGGGAAGGGAAGAGAGATCTCAGGATGATGTCTAAGTTCTCAGTGAAACCTGCTCTTCCTCTCTCTAAATGTTTCCCACGTCCAGCTCCAGTGCTGGTGTCCAGCTCACCAATTATCCTTACTTTTTATCTTGTCTTTTCCTTTTAGGAATATAGATAGAAATTTGCTGAGTTACAGATATTTTGCATATGTTTTGTCTTAATATTAGAATTTGTCATAATTAACGTAAAAACTATTCCTGTATGGGAAAAATGAGTCAAATTTAAGCAATTTTATTTATTTATGTATTTATGTGTTTGTTTATTTATTTATTGAGACAGAGTCTTGCTCTGAAGTGCAATGGCTCGATCCCAGCTCATTGCAACCTCCACCTTCTGGGTTCAGGTGATTCTCCTGTCTCAGCCTCCTGAGTAGCTGGGATTACAGGCGTGCACCACCATGCCCAGCTAATTTTTTGGATTTTTTAGTAGAGATTGGATTTCACTACGTTGACTAGGCTGGTCTTGAATTCCTGGCCTCAAGTGATCCATCTGCTTCAGCCTTCCAAAGTGCTGGGATTACAGGCATGAGCCACTGTGCCTGGCCATAATTATGGATAACTTTTGAGGAAATTGGAAAAATACACACTTCTGCCCAATTAGTGATAATTACAATGCTGAATCTACCAATGTTTAAATCCTTTAACTGTAGAATTAGGAGAAATATCCTAAAATTTTAGAAGAAAGATGGTCAGTTAACTTATAAGTTAAATGTTTTGTGTAAAGAGTCTGTATGTCCTTCCGCAAAATATGGCTTTCATATAGACAAGGACACAAGTTATAAGTTCACAGCTTAGTTAATTTTCACAAAGTGAAGCACACTCATGCAACTAGGACTCAGAACAGCAAGGAAAACATTAACAGAACCTCAGAAGTCTTTCATGGTCCTTTCTAGTAGTCACTTATCTAACACTGTAGATTAGTTGTGCCTATTATCGAAAACTTGTGTATGAATTGAAACATACAATTTGTACCTTCTTTTGGTGGTGAGGAATGTTCTTTTGCTCAGTTTTATGTGTTATTGCAGAATGTTAATTCATTGTTTTGTGCTATTGTTTGGATATAACACAATTTATTCATTCTTCACTTGATGGATAGTTTGGGTTTCTGGTTTGGGCAATAATGTACCACAGTACTATAGACATTCTTATGTGTCCCTTGCTAAATATATGTATATATTTCTTTTGAGGATATATGTACAAGTGTAGTTGCTGAGTCATGTGTTCGGATTCACTAGGTACTGCCAGTTTTCCAATTTGTACTCCTATTAACAATGTATGAGAGTTTCAGTTGCGTCAGATTTTTTTTTTTTGCATCACGTAATACTAAAACATAATAAGTCAAGGATGCATGTTATAACTTTTAGTATAATTAATAAAAGAATAGCAAAAACGTGTAACTGACAAGTACACGTACAATAGGTAATAGAATGAAATCGTAAACTTAGTCCAGAAGAGTAGTACAACAGGTGAGACACATAGAAAACAAATAGTAATATGACAAATATCAACCCAATATGTTAGTAATTACATTAGATGTAAATGGACTACATACCCAATTAAAAGATTAAGAACATCAGATTGGAGGAAAAAAATCCCAAGTAGATACTGCTTATAAAACATATCTTCAATGTAAGGACACAGGAATATTAATAACAGAAAGTTATGCAAGCACTAACCAAGCTGATGTAGTTATATTAATATCAGACAAAGTAGACCTTAAAATAAAAATAATTATTAGAAATAAAGGACGTTGTGTAATGAATAAAGGGTTGCTAATCCAGCTCCTATTTTAAAAATTTATGTGTAATTTTTCAGACCCAACCATGTGCAGTTACAAAGACTTTATTTGACAGGCCTTACGGGAGAAAGCTGCCCTCCTCAAATCCGACTTGGTGTGTGGCCAATGCACCGTAGTCCCTGAAATGAGTTGTGGGTGTGATTCAGGCCCCGCTGGCCAGCCATACGGTTACAGATAGCTGCATTCCTAGCCCAGGTTCTTCATTTAGAGCCCTCTTTATCAGAGGCCTTTAGCAGAGACCTTTCTCAGGTGCCTCTAAACCACTAAAACCACCTTAGCAGGTGGAAGAGGGGAGCTTTGAAGACTGCTTTTTCTCTACTCCAGTGAAGTACTTTTCCACTCCTAGCTCTTCTCCCTCTCCCTACCCTTGGCACCTGGATCCATGATACTGCAGGAACCTTTTTGGGAGGGTCCCTGGATAGTGAAGAGAGCTCCATATCTGTGCTGATTCACTTGACCCTTGGCTAACGGCACCATTCCATGGGGAGAAAATAGACCAGGGACATTAGCACTTTCTCTAGTTTAGCTTCTTGCTTTATAGCATCACAGTAAGTGATTAAAAGCTTGACTGTTAAAAAGTTAATATTAACTTTTTAATCTTGTTTTAATTGAGTACTCAGACAGCTGGCGGCTCCGCTTAGAGCCTAACAGTGGTTAATCCACCAGGAGGCCATAACAATTTGAAATTTGTATGCCCTTAATGATGTATCCTCAAAATGCATAAAGCAAAAACTAACAGATACTTGAAATTTATTGTATAACATTCACACAGAAAAGAGCATACAGCTCAGTGAGTTATCATAGAGTATATCAGTATACCCAAGACATTTAACATTACCCACACCTAACAAGGCTCACTTGAGATACTTCTCAATGACTATGGCTTTCTCCTTCCTTAAAGGTCACTACTGTTTGTACTTCTAATAAAAGAGATTCGTTTCGCCTGTTTTTAAGTTTTATATAATAGAATTATTAGTATATGTTTATATTTGGTTTCCTTTACTAATGTATTGGTTAGATATGTTTCTAACCATCTTCTGCTGAGTATTAACCTGCTATTATCATTTCAGATGTTTTAGAAAACGATTATGAGAGCTTACGTGTATTAAATGTTGAAAGAAATGGAAATATTATTTATACATATAAGGTATGTCTATTCTTTTTTATTGTGGTAAGATGTAAAATATACTGTTTTTAATCATTTATATTCTCTTTTTACAGAATTCTATACTGTATCTTATTGAGGGGTAATGAATAAACTTGTTGGCATTTAATCTTAACTTATGACTTTGTGTGTGTGAGACTGAATAAAGTGATTGAAATTTAGTAGTATTAGGTTGGGCATGGTGTCTCACATTGTAATTCTAGCACTTTGGAAGGCGGGGGCGGGCGGATCACTTGAGGTCACGAGTTTGAGACCAGCCTTGCCAACATGGCAAAACCCTGTTTCTACCAAAAAATACAAAAATAAGCTGGGTGTGGTGGCACACACCTGTAGTTCCAGTTACTCAAGAGGCTGAGGCAGGAGAATCGTTTGAACCCAGGAGGTGGAGGTTGCAGTCAGCTGAGATTGTGCCACTGCACTCCAGCCTGGGTGACAGAGCGAGATCCTATCTCAACAAAAAAAAAAATGGAAAAAAAAAAATTAGTATTAAATGTTTCTTCATTTTAAAATAAAACTAAATGGGCATATCTGACATAATAACTCAAATTTTGAATCAATGAACAATTTCATTTTCTAGACAAAAAATGCCAAGTAAAAATGTTTAAACCTAATTAATATGTTAACATTTTATCATTGGAGAAAATATTAAATATGATTAGTCTCTTCAGACGTAGATATGTTAGGACTTGACTTTTGAAGCATTATTATTATTTTGTTTTTAGAAACAGGGTCTTACCCTGTCACCCAGGCTGGGGTGTAGTGGCATAATCATAGCTCACTGCAGCCTCAAACTCATGGGCTTAAGTAGGTTCCTTGAGCTCCTGCCTCAACCTCTCCAGTAGCTAGGACTACAGGCATGTGCAGCATTGTTATTTAACAATGTGTTTTCAATGTCAAGTGTTCTAAGGAAAATTTAGTTTTACTATAATAAGCACACATGAATAATTCAAATGACCAGTTTGCTTTGCACAGTTACATCACTGTACTTTTTTAAGTAAAAATAATTATTGTAAGTTGTGTCTTAGAATGGTACCTTTAAGGAATTGTGTGATTCACAATGTTTTACTTATAAGAATGCTGTGGACTTGTCCTAGCCCTCCCTATTATCTATCATATGTGTATATTTTCAAAGATATAAGAGGCAGTATAAAAAGACTTACTCCTTCACCATGCTCAGTCCTACTAGACAGTTCCCCAAACTCACTGAGCTCTACACTATTGATGCATTTCATTCTTTGAGCCCAAATGATTAGCTGAACTGGATTCAGTCCCCCTCTGACAGGCACAGAAAGCTTCTTTTAAAGTGCTTACTGCTAAGATTGAGTTACTGCAGGTTGGTTTTAAAACTAGTAACATTCTAACTTCCTAAACAATGACATTTAATAAACATCTGTTTAATTTTTTTTAGGATGATAAGGGAAATGTCATCTTTGGATTATATGATTGTCAAACCAGACAAAATGAGGTAAAAATCACCATAAATCATAGATTACTCATTGGTTACTTTACTGCCTTTAGAGTTTTCTTCTTTGTCTCCTCCTTTTTCTAGACATTAATTCCAACTTTATTTTCTTTTTTCTCTAAACATTTTATTTGAAAAAACCGAATTGCAATTTAAGGCATGCACACAGACCAGGGTGGTCTTTGGTATGTCCAAAGAACTAAGAAAGTTTGGGGGTTTTATCAGAAAGAGAAATGTTACATATGGCTTTGAAAGAAAACTCACTGGCAATAGGAAAGATTCTAGGAGCTGGCAAGATCTCATTGGTGTGTGAAAGCAGTAGGTAAAACTAGTTTTAGAGCCATGGCAGTTTGTTTCAGTAGCTACTAGGTGAAGCTATTCTTAAGTTTATGGCATTTGGTCATTTTGGCAGCTGGCTTGCAAAACACCTGGGCAGGCACTTGTGCCCCATGTGCTTCTCTTTTCCTCTCCTAGTCTCTTGATTTAACTCAATTGAGTATGACAGAATAACTCCAATTCATGCAATCAGTTATCACAGTATAGGCAACAGTTTTATTCTTTTATTTGTTGATGGGCGCCTGTTTCTAACATTTATCTATTATGAACACTATTGTATATGTAGCTATTTTAAAATTCTTTTGTATGCATATCCAGGAGTGGGAATACCAACTTTATTTTCTAAAAATTTATATTTCTTTGCTTTCCTTCTCTTCTCCCTTAATGATCTCTTGGTCCTATTATCTTAAACAAAAAACGCAAGGACTATTGAACCAAAAAGTAAGGTGAAGTCTCTTAGACCTTTGAGATTTAAGTAAAATTGGCTCAAACAAATTATTCAGTATCCTGTAAGAAAGTAGGAGGTCCAGTGTCCTCCTTGAGATTTGTGTACTTCCACATCATCGTATAATGACCTCTGACTCTTTCTGCTTCTGCTTAACCTTCACGTGTCTTGTTTCTCATTATTTCTTAATGATTCAGACAAGGAACCCCTTTCCTTATTTTTTTCCCCAGGCATTGGTTGATGTGACAGGCGACTTTGTCTAATTCTGGGAGCAAATGAGAGGAAGTAATTTTGTGCCTATGTAAAAACAATTTAGAATTGAATATTGGACATTTTTGAACTTAAATGTCCTTTATCCATTAGAAATTTCTTACAGGTCGCCTTACTCTTCAGGTTTCCAATATGCTGCTTGGCTAATTGGTTAATTCTCTCTTCCTTCTTCCACCCCTTTCACATTCATTCATTCATTCATTCATTCACTCACTCATTCACTGATCCAACAAATAAGTATTGAGTGTTTTCCCTGTCAGGTGCTGGAGACACAGTGATGATCAACGTAAACTCTTTCACAATACACAGTCTAGGGAAAGAGAATAAAATATCAAGTTTTCAATGCAATTGTTGCTTAATTTCTGTGTGGCATGTATTCTAAAAAAATGGATTGAGAGGAAATACCATAGCCTGTCTTCTCTCAATCCAGTTGTGGTGACTGCTGTTATCTTTTGTGGTCATATTCCGCTCACATTTCCCAAGACTGTGAGCCCTTGACAGTAGGAGCACTTTGCATACCAATGTGTTTCATCCCGGTTACCTTTAGCTTACTGCCTGTGAGTGATAGGAGTGCAGTGAATATTTTTCAGTGGATTGATAGTAATAGGTTCCTTCCAGAGTGGCTGTTTTTCAAAAATTTTCTGGTGACAAAGCTGTTTTGAATTCCAAAATGTGAAAATTAGTCCAGAAAATAAATTGGCCAAAGGATAAATTAATAGGAAATTTAAACTAGCTTTGTAAACAGGCAAATTTTGCTTCTGAACCATAGTTGCTAAACAAACCCTCCCCTTCTCCCATCTCTTCTTCACATAAGCACAACCCTTACAGCCCATATGTGTTTTTGACTGACCTTTCGATGGTTTTATTGAAGGAATGGATTTGTATGCCAAATCTAGATGGGCTTTAAATTTTTTTTTTTTTTTTTTTTTGAGATGGAGTCTCTGTTGCCAGGCTGGAGTGCAGTGGTGCCATCTCAGCTCACTGCAACCTCCGCCTCCTGGGTTCAAGCAATTTTCCTGCCTCAGCCTCCCAAGTAGCTGGAACTACAGGTGTGTGCCACCACACCCAGCTAATTTTTGTTGTTGTTATCATTGTTGTTTTAGTAGAGATGGGGTTTCACCATGTTGGCCAGGATGGTCTCAATCTCTTGACCTCGTGATCTGCCTTCCTCAGCCTCCAAAGTGCTGAGATTACGGTGTGAGCCACCACGCCCAGCCTAAAATTCTTTTCAAGCACTATATTTTTCCTTGCAAAGGTGCCACCGTGAGAAAGATGGTGCCATCAAGAGGAAAAAAAAATCTTTCTCTTGGAAATTAAGCTTCAGGATGGGATAATGGTTTCTCAGTCTTAATGCTTACCCATCCTTCTCTAAAAGTTTTTAGTTTTTAAATTTGAAAAACAAGCACAGCAATGTCCTGTGTACTCTTCACTTGGTTTCTCTCAATTGTTACATCTTGTGTAACTATAGGATAATATATTAAAACCAATAAATTAATGTCAGCAGAATGTGTGCATATAGTTCTATGCCATTTCATCACTTGTGTAGATTCCTGTAATTACCACTGCAATCAAGAAAGAGTTATTCCGTTACCACAAGATCTATTGGTGTTGAAATTTTACCAGTTCGAATGAAGTGTAGAACTCTTATCTCCTTTTAAGTCTCTTTGCCTTTCCGTGTTTTTGTCTTTGATATTTCCTATACATTCTTTAAGATCTGCATCAGGCAATGTTACACATTTTGCCCCAATTGTCAAACATAATTTAGAAAACACAAGAGGAGAAGGAAAGTCTATTGTGTTTACCTGTATATTTGCTCTTTCCATGGTTCTTTCTGATGTTCTAACATTCCTTTTATCCTTTCTCTTTCAATAACTTTTTTTAGCCATTTTTTTTAGGGTAAGTATGCTGATGACAAGTTCTCATAGTTTTCTTCATCTGAGAATGTCTTTTTTTTTCCTTTCATTCCTGAAGAATAATTTTGCCAAGTATAGAATTCAGGATTCATAGTTCTTTTCGTTCCTCTCTTGAAAAACGTGCCATTTCCTTCTGGGTTCTCTGGTTTCTCATGAGAAATCTGCTGTCTTTTGAATTTTTTCCCCCCACTAGATGTCACTTTTTTTCTTTGCCGTTTTTGAAAAAAATTTTTTTCTTTCTTCTTAATTTTCTGAAGTTTGATTATGCTGTGTCCTGGTATGGATTTGTTTGGATTTTCCCTATTTGGGGTTCACTCCACTTACTGAATCTGTAGTCTCTTCCCATATTTGGGACATTTTTAGTCATTAGCCAATATTTCTTCAAATATTTTTTCTTAACGTTCCAATCTGTTTTCTCTTCGCTTTTTGTGGACTCCGATTACAAGAATGGTAGATCTTTTGTTATAGTCTCACGGATCTCTGAGGTTCTGTTTCTTTTATTTTTCGGTTTTCTGTCTATCATTTAAATTAGGTAACTTCTATTGTTTTCAAGTTCACTGATTCTTCTGTCCTCTCCACTATGTTGTTGAGCCCACCCATGGAGGTTTTGTTAAAAAAAAAAAAAAAATTGGTAATTGTATTTTTCAGCTGTGAAATTTCCATTTGTATTTTTCTTTACATATTCTATTTCTTGCTGAGACTTTTTTTCATTTGTTTCGAGCATACTTGTTATTACTTATTGAAGCATTTTTATGACCGTTTTAAAATCTTTGTCAGAAAATTCCAATATCTTTGTTATCTCAGTGCTTGTGCCTATTGTTTTCTCATTCATTTTGAGATTTTCGTGGCTCTTGGTATGATATGAGATTTTCTATTGTATGCTAGACATTTCAAGGACTACATTATGAAACTCTGGATCTTATTTAAGTCTTCTCTTTAGCATGCCTCCTCTGATAATTTACCTGTTGGGGAATTAGTAGGGTTGGTGGTACAACCTACTACTGCTAGGTTGTGCCAGGTGAAGGTCCAGGTTCCCCACTTGGCCTACTTGGACACCCTAGTGGAGAGAAGTGTCTTGTTATGGCCAGATAGAAGCGGGATTTCAGTCTCCCCACTTGGCCTCCACTGATACCACTGCAGAGGAGCAGGATGGGGGAAAGGTAGGTGAAGGCCTCATTATCACTGGGTGGTAGTGAAAGTTCTGGCTTCCCATTCAGCCACCTCAGACACCATCCCAGTGAGGAGGTAGAAAGGGACTTCTTTACTATTGGAGTCTGGGTGGGAGTCCAGGATCCACGTGGCTTTGCTGGCACTTCTGGTGGGGGAAGGCTTATTTACCACTGGGAATGGATGAAAGTCCTGATTTCCTTTCTGGTCTTCTTTGATACTCATCTTGCAGAAGGGGGAAGGGTGCCTTGTCATAGCTGGGCAAAGGTAGGAGTCTAAGCTCCCCATGCAGACTTTGCTGGCAGAGGTGGGAGTGGGGTTGCATTTTCTTTTGTGGTGTTTAGCTGGAGTTAGGGTGGTTATAGTAAAAAAGTTTCTCTCTCGCTATGTTTCCCCTTTCCAGTTCCTTTGGCTAGAGAGCGTGGGTGTGTGTTTGTTTTTGTCTGCTCCCATCAGTATTTCTGTTGTTTTCACCTCTTTAGCTCCGAGTCTAGGCTGTATGACACAAAAGGAAAACCCAGGGAACTCGCCACTATGTCATTCATCAGCATCTGGCGTCCCTAAAGAGTCTGCTGCCTTCTCTCTGCATTTCAGAGTCGTCTTTGAAACTTAAAAAAATATATGTCCAGGGTTTTAAAACTGTACTTGGTGGGAGCAATAGGGACAAGTGGGTTGACTCCACTTTGCCCCACCCCACCTCAAGTTTTGAGTTAATGGTCTTACCCTGGAATCAGCAAATGAGAAGCAATGTATTACTTATGCTTCCCATTAGCATAAGTAATGGGATAAGCATAAGCCCAGTCCCAATAGCTTTCCTTCCTCACCCTCTTCCACCTCTTTCTCCCACCTTCTGTCATGTAGGACTTCCCTGGTAGTGCATACAAGAGTGAACATGACCTAAACTGGTTGGATAAAAGAGAATACTTTGCTGGGAATTTGGGACATGGACTCTTCTCTTTTCCATTGGGTTTGGTGATAAGTGAATTCACTGAGTTGGAATTGCTGTGGCTTTGGGGAATAGAACTTGGAGCTCTATTGTGTGGAGGCTGACAAATGTATTGAACCCAGAAAGCAAGGAGAATGGATATTTCCAGCTCTAGATAAAGCCAATACTGAAGTAACACCCCATTCTGTTCAGTTTCATGAGCCACTAATTGTCTTTTTGCCTAAGCTAGATTGGGGAAGATTTTTTGATGCTTGGAGTTAAAGACTTCTGATACTTGCACACCTATTGACCTAGAAATTTCCACTTTGAGGTTTTGATTCTACAGAAATATCTGCACAGATTCACACAGGTTTATGTAAAAGGTTCATTGGATTATTATATTACCTAAATGTAGGAGGCATACTAAATGCCCATCAGTAAGTTTTGGAAATTGATACAGCTATTAAAGGATTAAGACTTCTGTACTGGTACAGAAGTCTCTCCAAAACATGTTGTTACATGAAAAAAGCAAGTTGTCAGAATAATACATTTAATACATTCCATTTATGTTTTTTAAAAACTCGCAATGTAACTGTGTAATATAAGTGCATAAATATAGACAATTTATAAACGTGCTTCCTTTTGGAAGAGAGTTGAGATTGGCTGAGTATGATGGACTGCTATTTCTTTTGACCTTTTGTTTTTGTTTGAGACAGGGTCTCCCTCTGTCACTTGGGCTGGAGTGCAGTGGCACAATCATGGCTCATAGCAGTCTTGACCTCCTGGGCTCAAGTAATCCTCCTTTCTCAGCCTCCCAAGTAGCTAGGACTACAGGCATACCACCATGCCTGACATATTTTTTAAAAAACTTTTGTAGAGATAGGATTTTGTCACGTTGTCCAGGCTGGCTTTGACTTTTTATTTGATAGTGTTTGCATCTTTTATAAATATTGAGACTATACTTATGTTATCTTTGTAATTAAAAGATAACACATTAAAAATTATGTGTATGTACCCATTCTTCTTAGTAATAATTTAGAATTAGATTCTTCTTAGTAATAATTTAGAATTCCTCAGTTAGAGCAAGAGTCAAAGGAAACCAAAAATTCTCACATGAATTCAGTACCTGATTAACTGAAAGTTCACTTTCCGTAATCAGTTGTCCCATAGCATTGCCAGCTTTTCCCATCGACTTCTAGCTATAGGGGTCTTGTGTGTTCTAGATACTTTTTTAGGGTGCAGGTACTAGTAACCTTCTTAATACTTATACTATTTACTGTTTCTCTTAGGCTGTTGTCTTCTGAGATCTAAGACTGTCTCTTTCCCTTATCCTCTGGGTGTTCTTTAAGACAGCCTGCCTAATAGAACTGGTGTTCTCTAGTTCCTCAATCTCCACATCACATCCTCCTACATGGGCATTTTCATTTTCTTTAATTTCCAAGAAAATGGAATCTTGCAACATTTTGAACATTTTAAACAACAACAAGGAAAAAAAATTAAAGAAGACTACCTTCCCGGTCCTCTAAATATGAAAGGCCTATGGGAGATGCACTTGTGACAGTGGCTAAGAAAACTAATGATTATTTTGTAATTAATTACCTCAGTAATTACAATAGCTAACATTTGAGTGCTTATTGCACTAAGTGCTTCATAGAGATTATCTCACCTGATCCTCCTAAAACACAGTAGATGTGTTTTACTGATGGCAGGATAGAGAAGCTGAATAATTTATCCAAGGTCACATAGCTAGCAAGTGACAGAGTCAAGATTTGAACCTGGGTCTAGTTGGGCTCCAACGTCTATGCTCTTAACCACTATACTTGGTTGTCTCATGGCTAAATATCAGTGCCAAATATGGCTTACAATAGCAAACTTTTTTTTTGGTAAAGAGTAGTCTGGAATGTGTCAGCATAGCTAAATTAGTTTCATTCTTTACTGAAATATTTTGCCCCAGTAGTACTTAGCGCAGAGTTTAATGGGAATTTATGTTCATATAATTGTTGTTTAATGTATGAAACTTCAAACTAAAAAATATTTTTGTTTTAATAGCTTCTGTATACCTTTGAGAAAGACTTGCAAGTTTTCAGTTGCTCTGTCAACCGTGAAAGAACTTTGCTTGGTAAGTTGAGCTCTTACTGCTACATATCAAGAACTGAACTACATCTTTTAAGAGTTTCAAAGTATTAGATTTTTTCAGTATTATTCTATAACAATGATTTTCTGAGAAAGAAATGTTCTTGAGAAGTTAAGTTTGAAATAAATAATATGGAGGGTATACCTACAAAAAAGAATGCTTTGTGTTCTGCCCTTATCTTCCGTTGACATATCTCTTTGAGCCCTCATCTATTTGAGGTATAAAATGGTAAGCTTTAACAAGCCACCATATGGATCAATTGCTAACGGAATTTTTTTTTCTTTTTCCATTAGCTGCAAGTTTAGTTCAGTCTACTAAAGAAGGAAAAAGGAACGAACTTCAACCAGGTAATGAAATTACACTTTTTAGTACTTATGGGTAGATGAAGGTTATTGGTGGATGATTTACTATACTACTAAATAAGATTTCAAGCATCTTTAGAAATAGCCTTATTGTATCTCAGAATAAAAGACAAAGGTCATGTCAAGCATGAACAAGACTTCTAAAAAATATATATTTTTTTCAAGCAAACAGAAAAGTACAGACAATGATCTAACAGTGATTTAACAGAAGTATTAAGATGCTAATTATTACCTGCAGGCTAAATAAATGCTGAAGTAGAAACCTATGGTCAGATGTTGGTGTAAAAGATTGGGGAAGTCAAGAATGCATCTTTTTTTATATCTGGTTAAGTATTGATTAGTACCTAACACACTGTAAGTAGTACACCAATACTGAAGATCAATTCTGCTCATTTACCAAGGCCCACTTTATAGTTTTGTAGCTGTGTGATGCTCCCTGGCCCCTCCCCACCACCTTTTAAAAAGTACTGTAAGTCATCCCTCTGTCTATAACTCAACAGTATTGAGTGCCTGCTGTGGGTCAGGCACTATGCATGGTGCTGGGGATACAATGGTGTGTAAGAGAGGTATAGCATCTATCTTCATGGGGCTTTCAGTCTAGTCTAGGGTTTCAATTGCAAATGCATACATTGGCCAGAGAGACCATGTAAATATGTGAAGTAGATTGAATGTAAGAAAAAAATCAAGTGACCAGCAGAATGTCTTTGTTTTATTATTATTATTTTTTTCCATTTTTAACATAGAAACCAAGAAATAGTTTTTTTTCTTTAATGGAAAAAAACAAAAAGTTCAAGAGCTATAGGGGCTAGTAGTGGGTTGGGGATGCCCCGTGGGGGACTTTCGAGAGGGGGAGCCACTACTCAGCTCTAGCTTTTTGTTGTCACTAGCAAGTCCAGTGGAACTGGCTTTTCAATTTATCAATGGAAGTCTGGAGCTTTTTGTAAAGATAGAATTTGTAAATGTTGGCTTGAATATATTTAAAAATCCTACTTGGGACAATAGTAACCACCTGTGGGCTGGAGCCAGCCTGTGACTACCATTGGTCAACTTCTGGCCTAGTGGGTCTCCTATCTCTTACTATTCTGCTCCCAGGTGCTTTCCATCTGTTCTGTTTATTTGACGCTTAAATTCCTTCTTAAATTACTTCTTTTGTTAGCATGGTTACCACTCAGATGGATTTTCCTGCCGTTGCATGTTATGGAAAAACCCTTTGTACTTACTTTCCACATGAGGCTCGTGAGGCACTCCTGGGCTTCTCATGACACACATTTCCCCAGAGCCCAGTCTGGATGGGACTTCCTTGGGGGCCTCAGTAAAATTGTTTTATTTGGTGGGCGGGAGGCTCACCTGAAATCTCATTATTTGTATTGCTCATCCTTACCCTCCTCCTGCCGTGATATACTGAGAACAACGACCCCTTCCTTCCTCAGTGCCACATCCTCCTTTTCCCAGTACTGTCAGCACTTTCTGTTCCTTTTAGAACTAAGCGCAGGGCTTGCTTCAGAGGAGATGGAACTGGAATGGCTTAAGTAAAATATGATCTGGGACATTGGTGTGCTGACCCTTAAAACAAGGGTATGGGCAAAACCCCAGGATATGGCCCTGACCTTTGGGCTAATAGACCCCTTTCTCCAAGAAGAGGAAAGGCCTAGCTGCTGTGTTCCTGGAGGTAGTGAGGGTGGGCATCTGTATAGAACCTTGGGTTGGCTCCTGTGCCTCCCAGTTCTTCTTGAGCCTTATTTTTTTGGCCTTAAAAATTCTTTATTATGTTGGGAAACTGAGTAGTAACTATATTTTTACATCTGTCTATTCACCATATATGCCTGACTGTCACACAGAACAGTGGTCATTTATGATTATGTAGAATATAAAATTTACTTTCAGGCCAATTTTAAACTTTACTTGATTACAACATTAAAGTCTATTCAGGGATGCTTGCTCAGTCTTGTAAGTTTGATGCACTTATAGTGAGATTATCTACTTGCATCTTTAAAAACGGTGCAATGAACATTATTAGTTATTGTATTGGATACTTCAAAACTTTACCATGTTGGCCAGCTCTGCCTAGGTGTAGTCTGACAGTGCCTCGCCTCTGCTGCCCTACCTGTGTCTTGCTTTCTGCCCAGGGCGCTTGGGAAAATCTATTTACTGCCTACACACATACAGCTTGGAAGTATGGTTGGGCATGATGCCCAGGAGAATAATCCATGACCAATGGTGACAAGGAGCTGAAAGAGAAATGATCTTCCTTTCCGTCTCCAAAGTGGGTAATTGTGAGGTGCACTCCAAGCAGCTTAAAATCCAAGGTGGTCACTAATTTGATAATGCCCCATTTACTGGTGTACTTTTCTTCCCTGTTTCATTCTTCCCAGACCCTTATGCCAACCCTGGCTAGAGTGATCCTAGAGTTATATTGCTCCCTGAGATAAGTTCTTATCTGAGTGTGAATTTCCCCATACACTGTGTCTGAAGCAGAGATTTGAGTACAATTAATTTATTTGGGGAAGGATACTAGGAAAGGCCATTAGGGGAGTGTTTAAACAGAGACCTGAAGGTGGGGAGAGAACAAGCACGAGGCTATGGGGAAAGCACATTTCTGGAAGATCAAACAGTCATCACAGACTATACTTGGTAGACTCACTGTTCAAGGATAGTGAGGAGGTCAGTGAGACAAGTGGAGTGAACAAGGGGCAGAGTGATAGGAACTGAGGGCAAAGGAAAAAGGAGGTGAGGTGCAGACAGATCACGTAGACCCAAGGAGGCCATTGTAAAGATTGTGGCCCTCATTCATAGTAAAATGGGAAGCGATATGCATATTGAGCAGGGGCGTGATCTAACTTGCTTCATAAAAGGATTGCTGTAGCTGCTGTGTGGAAGATGGACTGCAGCAGGGCAAGGGGAGAACTATTATAATCTAATGGTTTGGACTGGTGAAATGGAGCAAGGGCTAAGTGACTGTGTTTGGATGTATTCTCAACTTTTTAAGATTGGCTGCTTGGCCAGGCACAGTGGCTCACACCTGTAATCCTAGCACTCTGGGAGGCTGAGACAGGTGGATCACCTGAGGTCAGGAGTTTCAGACCAGCCTGGCCAACATGGTGAAACTCTGTCTCTACTAAAAATACAAAAATTAGCCGGGTATGGTGGCACATACCTGTAATCCCAGCTACTTGGGAAACTGAGGCAGGATAATTGCTTGATCCCAGGAAATAAAGGTTGCAGTAAGCAGAGATCACACCGCTGTACTCCAGCCTGGGTGATGGAGTGAGACTCCACCTCAAAAAAAAAAAAAATATATATATATATATATTATATATAAAATATATATAAATATATTATATATAAATATATTTATATATATATTTATATATATATACACACATGCGCGTGCGCGCACACACACACATACACATATGCATGCTGCCGGATTTGATGGGACTATGAGATTTTATGGGAATATGAGAAAAAGAGACAAGTCAAGGGTGACTCACTGTAAGGTTTTTTGGCTAGAACAGGTAGAAGGGCATGTGGGTGTGTGTGTATGCATGGGAGGGACAGGAAAGAAGAGTTTCATTTGGACTTGCTCAGTTTGACATGCCTAACAGACATCCCAGTGGAGATGTGAGGTGGAGTTTGGAGATGAGTCAAAGGCCAGGTAAGAGGTCGGGGCCGGACAGACACATTTAGGAGTCATCAGTATATGAAAGATATTGCTCATCATGGGAAGATTTCATTTTGTTCAGTAAAGATTTCAGATGATGTAATCAGAAAGCGCTATAGGATTTATGAGAATGTTTTATTTGAATGAATATTTGGAAAGGTTATTTTGTCTGTCCATCAAATGGCCTTACAAGCCATTTGATTATAAGATGTGGTTTATCTCAGGTGGGATTTAACACTGTTGCTTAAAATGAGAAAAATGAGGAATTCCTATAAATTTGCTATCTGGCCATATTGTTTTAATTCTTTCTTTACTATGCTTTAGTCCAAGTAGACTCTAAAAGCCTTTCTCTAGGGCATACCCAGAGATCAGCCATATAAACTATTCCCTTCTGTCCAAATTTGTTTCCCTTCAGCAAAAAGGTCCTCATCCCAACAACCTTTTAATCTGGACGTATGAAGTCTGAAGTGCTTCTGTACTCTTTTGCTACCTTACTGTAGAATCGCAAACATATCAAACTGTGAAACCATTGAGCAGGCCTTGCTCTCTTTTTGCATAGGAATGGACCCAAGGAGCAGGGAATGTATAGTTACCAGAAACTTAGTATAGACCCAGCATGATATTTAGTTATGAATAATACAGAGAAGGAAACTTGGACCTTGTTTTCAAGAAATTTAGTTGGTTCCAGGCACCAAGCACTGAACTAAGTGCTTTATTAACATGATCTAATCCATTCCCTGGGGGCTGCTGGAGCTGTTGGCTGACTGTGTTTACCCTCCGGATCTCTCATTCTAGGTTTTCATACTCTGCACACCATCCTCGGGGTCCACTGTCTCCCTTTGCATAACCTGCTGCATTGCATTGACAGTGGAGTGTTGCTTCTCACTGAAACAGCTGTCGTAAGGCTCATGAAAGGTAAGAGGCCCTGAGTTTGCCAGAGTGCTAGTTCCAGTCAGAGCACCACCAAGGCTAGCTTCTTGGGCGTGCAACCTGTGCAGTCACAAAGAGCCTGGCTGCACTAAGAGTCCCCTTTTCAGTTTAATGCTGCATTGCATCTTGAAATTCTTAGTAATATTTGAACAAGGGCTTGCTCATGTTCATTTTGTGCTGAGCCCCACAAATTATACAGCTGGTCCTGTGAGCACAATCCTTTCCCTGTAATCATCTTTTGGGCCCATTTAAAGTGTCTTAGCCCTTCAAGAGGTCCTAAGGGACTTTATAATCCACATACAACTATTAGATTCCTTTTCTGTGCAAGAGGGCACTTGAGGCTAGGAGCCTCTGCAGGCTCGTTTCTCAAGAAAATGTCACAAAATGGCTTACTTTCAGCTATTAACTCTGTCGTTTCAAAGTTAGACTAGAAATGCAAGGAAAATTATTGAAAGGGGCAATGCTTATATGGATTTGAACTTTAAATTCTGTAGTATAATCACTCAATTCAATTGTATTTTAAGATATTTTTGTTTATATGAAAGCATTTGTCATTCCTCAAGGTACCTTCTGTTTTAAGTTAGTCAATAAAATTGCTTTGCACCTGGCAGCCTGTTACAGAAAAATCCCTTTTTATTCAGAGAGTCAGAGTAAAATTTCCAAAATGCTGTTAGATTAGCTTCAGACTACACAGTTGGGATATGTCTTATCAAGATGAACCACTCAAGTATTAATATTAACTTGCTGAAGTGTCAAAACAGGTATTTGTTTCATTTGCCTATCTCTAACTTTTTTGTAGATCTGGACAATACAGAGAAAAATGAAAAACTGAAATTCAGTATCATTTTGCGGCTTCCTCCGGTAATCCTGAGTTACATTTTATTTTCTCCCTAAGTTTTGGCATGACCCTCCTTCAATTTCTTCTTGCAAGAAGAGCATTTACTTGCTTTGGGTTAAAGTCAATTGAATCGTTTCACTTTTCAGTGCTTCCAAGAAATCCCACCCGTCCCCAGCCCTCTGTCAGCTGTTTCCCACTGGGCCTACAAAGCACTTGCTCCTCTGGCTCTGCACTGCCTTGGCACAGTCCAGTGAGAACATTAAGCCATTTTCGCCTCTTAGGAAACCACACTAATATTTACATCTGAGTCTGAGAGGGAGGGAGAGGGGAAACGTGCTTTTGCATTTAAACAGATTTAAATTGGATACATTTGAATACAGGTGAGGACAGAAGGTTCTAGAACGGTATTTCCCCTTACTGCATTTCTACCATGGTAGGAAGACATTCCCGGGTGAAAGGAAGAATGAGAAACACAAGGGAATATCAACACTCAGAGTCAGAGATACTACGAAAATATGAAATTCCACAGCAGGGTCTTTTGAGCCTCTAACTCTGCAAACTTCCTGACCTGAAGCCAGCTCCATCTGCTGTGTACATGCCTTGCACACTTGCACCTCTGGCACTGTCCTCTCACGAACGGCTGTCTGTTGTCTTTCTGGACCTAATCGCCCTTCTCTGTAGTAGCCCTTCCCCCTCACTCACAGGCTTACTGAAGCAAAGGCAAGAATAGAAAACAAAGCATATTTTCCATAGCTAGATCTCTCTGGGGAACATTGCTGAACATTTAGTTTGGTCTCCAAATTTGTTTATTTCCCCAGTACTCTTAGGGAATTAAAATTTTCTAGGCAAGACAATGGCAGAGAAGTTGATATAAACATGCGTACACCTCTTAGTTTCCTGTCAAAACATCAGAGTTGGCATGCCCATCTCTGGTTTTGAAGAGCAGCGGATAAACTCCATTTCAGTAAAAGGGTTTAGCAACATCAGTGTATAAACCACTTTCCTCAATGTAGCATTTGAGAGAGTATTTACTCCCTCATTGAAACTTCATAGGAACATGGCATTTCTCCAAGGGTCCTTATCATCAAGGGCCTGTCTTAGGCTAACCAGCTACTTTGGAATAATGCTTTTATAATTATGAATAGATATAAGGTATGTTTACTTACTATAGTGTGCTGTATATTCTCTACTTTTTTTCAATTTGCATAATAGCTTATTGGTCAGAAGATTTGTAGACTTTGGGATCATCCTATGAGTTCTAACATCATTTCACGGAACCATGTGACGCGACTGCTTCAGAACTATAAGAAACAGGTGAGTTTCTCTGAAAGCACAGCCAACTAAATGTTTTTAGGATCCTGTCTGCCCGTGACAACATATCTATATGGACAGCAATTATAATTCTTATCACTTTATTTTAAAATTGTGCTTATTGTGGAGAACCAACTTACACCCGAAGTGGTTTCCCTTTTAGCCTCGGAATTCTATGATTGACAAGTCATCGTTCAGTGTAGAATTTCTGCCTCTGAACTACTTCATTGAAATTCTGACAGATATAGAGTCCTCCAATCAAGGTAATTTACTCCCTGTTCTCAGGGTCTTTCCACTTTTCCCTTGACACATCAGTCCTTCCCTATTCACTTCTGTGAACTGGTTTCTTTCCAAAATCCTTTTACATACAAGTAGGCCCTTATAGCAGTTGGTTTACATTAGCAGTACCCAATTTACTACCTAGAGTAAATTACCAAATAATCACCTCTGAAGTTTTAAGAGTGTCAAGAGGTTTAAAGCCCATTTGGTTGATGCAAATGTTCTTGGTGCTGAAGTTTAATAAAATTTAAAAACACATTCTCAAAAAAATCATTTTACTAAAATATAATTTTGATTTTAATGAGCTGTGAGCACAAAGTTATAAATGTTTCATGGCCCCATAGTAACCCTTTTTCCCTGCCCCCTCCCCATGTTTTTCCAGCCCTGTATCCTTTTGAAGGACATGACAATGTGGATGCAGAATTTGTAGAGGAAGCAGCTCTGAAACACACCACAATGCTCTTAGGCTTATGAAAAAGAAAATGCAATTGGATCTGCTGCTGCCATTTAAATCTTGCTCATTAACCTTACTCCTGTTGAGAATCCTTTAGCAATATTTAAAATTGGTAACAAAACTAAGAAATTGTTTAGCCATTTGAGTTTCAGGTTGGTACATGTTCAGACAGAACTATAACTGCTGTATCACATTCCAATTTGGAATAGCCAGTGAGCAATCAAGTGTAGAGAAATGATAAATGGTCTAAGAAGGCATACAGTGGCATAAACTATGCTCTTCCTAGTAGCTTAATAGGCCACAAGCTAGTTGCACTCTGAAATAAAATATGCTTTAAAAATGTAGGGAACAGTGCTTAGAAAAGCAAAAACGAGGTGTGTCATTGAAATAACAGGAAGAAAATTAAATGTTATGTAAGAACACTATTTGGAAAGAGGTTCCTTTTAAAAACTGAGTTTGTACTAAATCAGATTTGCCATGTCCAGCACAGAATAATTTGTACTTAGTATTTACAGCAGGGTTTGTCTTTGTGAATTCAGATGAAATGTATTTAATTTTTTTATATTTATAAAACGTTGATTTAGGAATATTTTGTCATTAAAAAACCTGAACACAAAGTTTTGGCCTGACTTTCCCTGTTGTTTGAATGTAGCCTTTTTATTGAAGCCAAGAATCATGAGTCTATGAACTTTTTTTTTTCAAAGGCCCCCATGTGACACCTAACTCATTCTACCATTTCCTTTTTTCACTTTTCTATAGTGATTTCATTCTAACCCACAAATACAGTTGCAGCCCAAGGTCAGCCCACAACCCTTTGCTTTTCTGTCTTCAGACTGAACTTAAGATTTTAATGATTATAAATATCATTAGCTGGTATGATCATTCAACTTCCTGTCTAAAATAATTTTGTTCTAAAAATTGTCCTCTCTTATAGAATTACCCTTTTTGGTCAAATACGTCATGGTCACCAATGACTAGGCTCAAAATCTTGGAGCTGATTCTTTCTCTTGATAAGGTCATTATCTTTCAATCCCTGCTTTCATTCATTTCTTTGCATACCTGGATGGTTCTAGCTGCTCCCTAAGGTCTAAATTTATCTTAAATATATTTGAGAAAAACACTAGTTTGATCTGGTCACTCTGCTCATAATCTTTTAATAACTTGCCATTCATCATAGGATAAAATTCAAACTCCTTGACATGCAAAGTATCCCAAATTCCTGCCTTATACAATATGAACATTTTCTTCCAGCCAGGTCAGTTCATTGGGCCTTGAACACAATTCTTGCTTTAGGTTATTTCGCACACCTGGATTCCCTCTCGTCTGTTAAAATCTTATTCATGCTTATGAGTCAGATAAACAGTTCTGTGATCCAGGCCATTCTAGCACCTGGTGGCATCTTCCTTCTGAGCCAGTATCATGCATTGTAATATTTAAGTATCCCTCCCTTTGTGATGTTATTTTTCTATTCTTAGGTTGCTCAAACTTCCTATGTGTGTATTTTTGAATCCCTAATGAGGTTACTAATTCCTACAATACAGGAACTATGTTAAATATGCAGTATTTCTTATTTTCAAAGGCAATCCCAAGTAATTGCTTTATGACTCACCAAGCAGGTTAGATTTAGGCTGAGAGAGATTAAATTTCTTTTAAATCTGGCAGGATTAGGACCTTGTACAGATGAATTTAGTAAAATAAAGGGATGGAATATTTCTCACTCCCAGAGTTGCAAAATAAAATTCATAATGCTACCAGTATGAAATAAAGATACTTTCACCCCCTTCCCTCCAGAAACACCGCTGGCCCAGCTAAACAGTCATGCAGCCACGTCATGGGCTTGAGAAACAGCCCTGTGCCCACCCCTGGCACACATACCCCCCAAGCCTGCTGAGCAGCTATGTGCCCATGAACTGGACCTGAGAAATGGCCCCATGGGCTACCCCTAATAGACATTATCCCAGGCTAGCTGAGCAGCCTTGCACCCACATACTTGGCTTGAGAAGCAGCTCCATGGGCTGCTCCCAGGCTGGCTGAGCACCTATGTGCCTGTGTCCTGAGCCAGAGAAACAGTCCTGTGGACCACCCTCAGCAGACACATACCCAGGCCAGCTGAGATGCTGTATGACCATGTCCCAGGCCTGAGAAACAGCCCTGTGAGGTGTCCCTACCAAACATGCCTCCAGGCCAGCTGAGCAGCTGTGCGTCTGCATACCAGGCCTGAAAAACAGCCCCATAGGATGCTTCTCATAGGCACATGTCCTGGCCTGCCAAGCAGACTTGCACCTGTGCCCTAGGCCTGATGATAAACAGCCCTGTGGGCCACTATCAGTAAATGTGCCCCTAGGCCAGCCATGCAGCCTTGTGCCTGCATTCTGGGCGTGAGAAACAGCACCATGGGCTGCCCTTGGCAGACACGTCCCTAGGCTAAGCAACCACATGCCCATGTTCCTAGCCAAAGTAAAAGCTCCGTGGCTCCAACTCCAGCAAACCAGACTCCAAGTTGACTGTCCACCATGTGCATGCATCTGCCCTCAACTTGAAAAATAGCCTGGTGAGCCCACCCCAGTTGCCACATACTTTCTCAATCTAGGCCACTGAGAAACACATCCCTAGTGTGGATTGCAGCTGAAGAAACTTTAAAGATAGCACACTAGTCTCCTTCCAGCTAGAATGAAGGCCAATGCACTCCACTGAACTGACACCCCACAACTCATTTATACAAATAAGTCTTTCCCTATGAAACCTCCATAAAATTGGAAGAGCTGACTTTTCCACCAGATGCGTAGAAATCAATGTAAGGACATATCAAACATGAAAAAGTAAAGAAACATGACACCTTCAAAGGAAAACAATAATTATCCAGTAACAGACCCCAATTATAACAAAATATAGGAAATGCCAAAAAATCAAAATAATAATCCTAAGGAAACTCAGATTCAAGAGAATACAGATATATAATTCAACAAAATCAGGAAAACAATTCATGATTTGAATGAGAAATCCAACAAAGAACCAAACAAATCCTACAGTTGAAGGATTCAATGAATGAAAAACACAATTGAGGGCTGCAACAAGACTAAACCAAGCAGAAGAAAGAATTTCTAAACTTCAAGTATTTTGAAATAATATAGGCAGACAAAGTAAAAAGAATAAAAAGGAATGAAGAAAGCCTATAGGATTTATGGAAAACTATTAAGTGAACAAGTAATCATATTATGGGCATTCCAAAAGGAGAAGAGAAGGGAAAAGATGAGGGAAACATATGTAATGAATAGAAAACTTCACAAGTCATGAGGGAGGGGTGGACATCCAGGTCCAGGAAGCTAAAAGAACCACAAATAGATTCAAGCCAAACAAGTCATCTCCAAGGCACATTGTAGTCAAATTATCAAAAGGCAACAATAAAGAATGCTAAAAGCAGCAAGAAAAAAATGTCAAGTCACATATAAGGTAAACTCCATGAGATTAATAGCACATTGCTCAGCATAAAACTTACAGACTAGGAGAGAATGGGTTGATATCATCAAAGTACTGAAAGGAAAAAAAAAAAGCCAACAATATTATATCTAGAAAAGCTATCCTCCACAAATGAAGGAGAAATAAAATATTTCACAGACAAACTAAAACTAAGGACATCTGTCACCACTAGACAGGCCTTACATGAAATCCCATAAGAAATACTCAAGGGAGTCTTACATCTGGAAGTGAAAAGACAATCACCATCCTCATGAAAATATGTGAAACTGGCTGGACATGGTTGCTCACACCTGTAATCTTAGCACTTTGAAAGCCTGAGGTGGGGAGGATCGCTTGAAGCCACAAGTTCAAGGCTGGCCTGCAAAACATAGTGAGACTCTGTCTCTACAGAAAAAAAAAAAAAAAAAAAATTAAAAACATGCAAAACTGGCAAACTCATCCGTAGAGCCAATACACAAAAATAAAGGACTCAAACCTTATTACTACAGAAAACCATCTACCCACAAAAGTAAATAAGAGGAAGGGACAAAGAATAAATAAAACAACCAGAAAACAATCAATAAAATGACAGGAGTAAGTCCTCACCTGTCAATAATAACCTAAAATGTAAATGGATTAAATCCCCCATTTAAAATATGTAGACTCAGTGGGTGGATCATGGCAGATGGGATGCAGGACTAGATTGCAGCTCCAGAAGAGAAGCATGCAGAGGCGTGCATTATGAATATTAGCTTCAGATCGACTACAAGAACAGACCACCAATCCTGAGAGGACCCACAGATCCTCTGAAGGAAGCAGACTGCTCCTGCAGGACCTGGGAGACACCCCAAATACTGTGAGTGCCCCAATTGTGGAAGTGGGAAACGGAGACCCTCCTCTCCCAGACACACACCCCCACTGGAGAAGCTGAAGGTCTGTTTGTGTGAGAAGTTCCCGACCTTACCTGGAACTGAGACAAGTTAGAGTCGCGCTGAGTGAAATACAGGGGTAGAGGAAGTAGCAGAAAGGCACTGGGAGCTCGCTGGATCCCCAAGCAGCCCATTCCTGCCTGGCACCACAGGGATCCATCAGGAGGGCGGCCAGAGGAGCAGGGGGTAAGACTCCACAGGGAGAAGGACTTCTCTAGCTGAACTTTGTAACAATTTGAACGGGGCCAGAAGCCTCCTGGCCAGAATTCGGGGAGAGTGCGAAACCGGCTTGCAGACTTCATAGGCGGGGAAAGAACTAAAGCCCTTTTCTTTTGCAGCTGGGAGGCAGAAAGCCTTGGGCAAGTTTTCAAGCCCAACTTGCCCTCCGCCTGGAAACAGACTTTCGGCTATTGTGGGTGGCACCGTGGGAGTGAGACTAGCCTTTCAGTTTGTATGGGAGCTGGGTGAGGCCTGTGACTGCTGGCTTTCCTTCACTTCCCTGACAACCTGCATGACTCAGCAGAGGCAGCCGTAATCCTCCTAGGTACACAAATCCAGTGACCTGGGAATCTCAACCCCCTCCACCACAGCAGCTGCAGCAAGACCTGCCCAAGGAGAGTCTGAGCTTAGACACACCTAGCCCTGTCCCCATTTGATAGTCCTTCCCTACCCACCCTGGTAGTGGAAGGCAAAGGACATATAATCTTGGGAGTTCTAGGGCCGCGGCCACCTCTGGTTCCTCTCCACACTACTATAGCTAATGCTTTCTGGAAAGTGCTATCTCTTTCTGGTGGGAGGAGGCCAACCAGCACAAAAATAGAGCATTAAGCCACCAAAGCTAAGGACCCCCATGGAGTCCACTGCACCCTATGCCACCTCCACCAGAACAGGCACTGGTAACCGTAGCTGAGAGACCCATAGATGGTTCACATCACAGGACTCTGTGTAGACAACCCTCAGTACCAGCCTGGAGCCAGGTAGATTAGCTGGGTGGCTAGACCCAAAAGAGAGACAACAATCACTGTGGTTTGGCTCACAGGAAGCCACATCCACAGGAAAAGGCAGAGAGTACTACATCAAGGGAACACCCTGTGAGACAAAAAAAATTTGAACAATAGCCTTCAGCCTTAGACCTTCTCTCTGACAGAGCCTACCCAAATGAGAAGGAACCAGAAAACCAACCCTAGTAATATGACAAAACAAGACTGGTCAACACCCCCCCAAAATCAC